TAGGCAGGAGAAACTGTAGCCAGGTTCTTCTATCATATGTTTATACAGGATGTCCCATCTTCATATACTGTCCAATTTCTTCAAGATAAATGGAGCTGAAAGAATAAACAACCCAAAGTTAGTTTTCAACTCTATGTAGTTCCCATGCTACATTACAGATCTGTGACACTTGGGAAAAACTTACAGTTTTAATTCAATATTAAAAACAAAACAAAACCTACAAAATGATGGCCAAGGCTCTGCCCATACAACACAGCAAAAGAGCCTTACTTTGGCATCCAAAGCAACTCATTCCTCTGTCCTTTACCTATGGGTACCATAAGATCATTGCTTATACTCTTTAAAGGCTTTTCCCCAGGTAATTCTCCCCCTTAAAGCCATAATAAGTAACTCCCATCTGTCTCTCAAACAACTCTATTTTGCTGATCTTAACTGTAAAAGGAATAAAACTAGAGAAAAAAAGGAGGGAGGCATTTCTCATCTTTAAATTCATTTGAAAGAAAGCAAGTAGGTTTCGTAAAAATACTGTAGCAGGAAACACGTGACTGTCATCTCTGATACCAAAGAATGATATTTTCTCAATATTCATAGTTAATAGAACATTCTGTAAATAATAAACTGAAGACATTGAGATCTGTCAGAAGCAGATAAAGTCAGTAGTATATCCAATCTTCTACCCATAGGGGGAAAAAATCAAATACAAAATGGATAAATGTAATGTAGTATTTTATGCAAGAAATTTTATTTGAAAAAAGTTCCAACACATTCTATAACATAAACTCTGAAAACATTTTACTAAGTGAAATAAGCCAGATACAACAGGATACATACAGTATAATTTCATTTGTATGAAATATTCAGAATAGACACATCCATAGAGAAATAGTGGTTGCCCAGTTCTGGAGAAAGGGGAAAATGAGGTGAGCGCTAGTTGGCAGGGACTTTCTTTTAAAAAGGTAAAGAAAATGTTCATAAATTGATTGTGATAATGGCTGCACACCTCTATGCTAAAACCCACTGAACTGCACACTTTAAAGGTATATTATATAATTTAGAAATGATACTTTAACTTAAAAATGATAAATCAAAGTTAAGAAGAAGTAAGTAAATCTGGTAGTTGCAAACAGTTGGTGAGCGAGTTGGAGGATTTGGGCTATTTCTGTTCCCCAAGACTCCCTCTCCTGGGGAAGCAAAGAAATACAACAAGAGTACACAGTCAAAAAAGGCTCCTGAACTTGAGTCTTCTTTGGCACAACCTTGGTATGGCCTTCAATTATCTGAACAACCCTGCCTCTCCATCCAGACCAGCCAGCCAGCATACAAGCACAGAACAATGAGGAGTTTACAGATAATGAGCAATCTGAGGCAAATTACTGCTAAGATGTGTCGGTACAACTAAGAGAACTAATCTATAAAGCTGCTTCCAGTTCTTCTATTGAGTGTGCCTCTAACCTGATGTCTTTCGTATATCCCCCTGAAAACGGAGCTCTCACAGGGCCACTGACAAGATAAAAAAAATGGAAATAACTCTGTCAACTGTAAAGTCAAAATATCGCAGGCATTTTTATTACTCCACTAACCTTTTTTTCTCATTCGTTTAAAAAAAAAGCAATTATTTACCTCACCCTCTGTACAAATAAACAGGAAGCAAAATCAGATTTAAAAAGTTAGCATTGAAGGGAACCTATTAAGAGCTATAGACTCTATTAGGTCAAGTTCATTCATTAAATCGTTGAATGACCTTGGACTAATCATTTTCCTACTCCGGCGTATTTCTCAGTCCGCAAACAAGGGACTTGCTCTAGGGCTAAACTCTGAAGCTCGTTCAACTCAAGGCTCTTAAGAGTAGGTGAACCAGAACGACTTGACTACGCGCGCTGGGTCACCACGTGCGCTTTGATATCCCCACCCCGACCCAGGGCGATGCGTAACACCGTCGCCCGCAACGCGCTTTCCGTCTGCTCTTCGAGAAGGTTCAGCTTAGGTCTGCTCCTAAAGACCCCACAGCCGCCTGCAGAACGAAAGATGGAGGGGTTGTGTCGACGAAAGGGTCTCACGGTCACAGCCCAGAAGGACGGACACTCACTGACTCGCAGCAGGGCTACGTAGATGAGGAAGTTCCGTACGGAGGAAATCACATCCTCGCGCATCTTCCGTTTCATTTCTTCAGGGTCCAGCTTCGGTGCAAGGCCCTCGATCCGAAACATCTTCACTCTGCAGCAACACCTTCCAGTTGCTGCGCTTTGCTCTCTGAGTTTTACCGGAGGAGTCACACCCGGAACTCGACCTAACCCTACTTCCGGTTCCGCCCCCCTCCAGGAGGAGACGGAAGCCTGCGAAGGACAATTCTCATCCTGTCCGTGTGACCCTGAGGAGCGGCCTGAAGGGGGCGACCATGATCTTGTCACAGAGACCCGGGTGTTTGTGAGTTTGTCTTAAACTGGGAGCACAGTATTGTAAAATGGTGTTACTCCGCCCAGTAGGGGACTGTGCTTCTAGGTACCACCAAAAATACTAACAGCTAACATTTACTGAATACTCACTGTAGTTCTCTGTAAATTGCATATCATCATTTCCTAGATTAGAAAATTGAAGTACAGAGATCTTTAAAACAACTTGTAAGATGCAGTTTACCTCAGGTGGAAAAAGTATTGAGAAATGGAATAGTATTAGCAAATATTAAAAATTACTTAAACTGGTGACTGGTATATCATTTTAATTATTCTAATCTTTGTATCTTGAGTATTTGAAATTTTCTATGATAAAAAACAAAAGGCAGGGGCTGGGGAGATAGCTTGGTGGTAAATGCCTGCCTGGTAAACCCAAGGACCCGGGTTCGATTCCAGATACCAAATGCTGTGCCGGCCCGAAACCAGGTGTGGTGGTGCATGCTTGTAATCCCAGCGCTATGGAAGCTGAGACAGGAGTATCACTATGAGTTTGAGCTGCGTAGAGAGACCCTGTACCAAATAAATAAAGAAATAAAAGATTAAAAACAAGAAAAGGCAAAGATGGCGAAACTTGCCCAAGATCACAACTAATAAATACCAAAACAGGACTCTATATCTACTTAGATCTGTGAAACACCAGACAGAGTTTTTAAGATTATTGCTGTATTCACATTTTCCGTAGCTAATTGATTCTTATAAGTATAATTTAGGTGTAGTAGTAGAGCATGGGTAAAGTAAGTTCAAATCTGAAAAACATTCTACTGATGAGGAAAGGAAGTCTCAGAAATCTATTTTTCATTCTATTACTGATGGATAGGTCAGCATTCTAATGTAGATAACTGTAATGTCTAGATAATGAGCAAGATAAAGTGAACCCTACTACCCCAATGGTCCCTAATAGTACCTGCATGGCTGGACATCCCTGGAATCAGAAGGTAGGAATTTAAGGCAGTTTTTCTGCCACAAAATCATCAAAACTAATAGGTGGCTACACCAAATTATGAATGACAGCTAGCCATATATAATTTTCAGATATGAGCCAAATGATTAAATTGCTTATATAGTACAGAATGTTCCTTCTTGAAAGCACCTAGCAATAATGCACATAGTGCATAGCAATAATGAATTTTGGATAAAATCTTGGGTAAATTAGAGTAATAATTTTTATGGAAACAACTGATAATTGTAAGCATTACAACCTACCTTCCTAACTGACAGACAGTGGGGTGAGAAAAGGAACTCTTTTCATATTCAAGCGTTAGTAACCTTTTACATCTATAATTGATGCAGCGGAATAGCAGAAGCCACTTTGGAATGGAAGAGGCAGACTCCCAAGGATTAGCCTCCGTGAAAGCCTTTGTGTCTAGAAAAGTAATGCTGAAAAGCAGCAGGGGCTGTGGGAAGAAGCTGAACAAAGACAATGGAGACATAATCCCTAGATTTGACACTGTGACTCACTGTCCATGTGATAAGGGACAAGTTTGTTTCACTGAAACTTCTTTACAGGGAGGGCATATGAGTAGCTGGTTTTTGTTGTGTTGTTGTTGTTGTTTTGAGTAGCTGTTTTTGAAAGTCCCTTCCAGTTCTAGTAGTCTATGTATTTTTAATTCTAATTGTGTCATCTAGGACATAATGATTTGGAGTGTGTGGCTATCAAGCTCTCATCAAATATGATCAATTAGCAAACCAAATATGTGCATTTTCCATGTAAAGAAGACAGTAAATATGCAGGCATGGTGGCACACACCTTTAACCCCAGCACTCAGGAGGCTGAGGCAGGAGGATTATTCAAGTTCCAGACCAGACTGGACTACAAAGTGAGATCAAGGCCAGACTGAGCTTAATATCTGAGACAGTGTCTCAAAAAGACAAAAAAGGACCGGCCAGATAGCTCAGTGGATTAAAGCACCTGCTTAGGCAGATGCACGCAGGGACCAAGGTTTGATCCCTGGGCATGTTGCCAGCCTCACACTCAGGGCACGCTGAGTCAATGATTGAGACTAGGTGTGGTGGCGTGCTTGTAATCCCAGCACTTGGGAGGCTGAAAACAGGAGGATCACTACAAGTCCAATCTATGTAGTGGGACCCTGAGCACCCTGCATTAAATACACACACACACACACACACACACACACACACACACGACGGTAAACAAGGAGGCAGACCTCAACTATCTGAGAAGTGAGGCAAAACAGATTGGGAAGGAATGAATTGTTATGTGATTTCAATAACTTAGATCTCTAAAAATGTTTACCCTAGTTTAAGTAGTTCACATATGGAACTACCACGTTATTTTCTTTATTGAGACACTTGTGAATAACTTACCTGAATTCATTGGGAACTAAAGAGGGGAGAAATTAGTCCAAGATTATGTTTGATGGTAAAAAGAACAGGTGTTAACATCTGAGCTTTACTGTCTGATGTGAAATTTAAAAAGTGATGCTATTCTTAGAACAATTCCTTAGAAAGCTGTGGTTCTTGTCCATCTTTTGAGATAGGAACACAATGGATAAAAATATGGAGCAGTTATGCCCTGGAATGAGGAATTTGTTTTAGATATAGTCTTGGAGGCTGAACTGTTTGTGTCTCAGAAATGTCTTCCTCTTTCATGGCTCTTTGTAATGGAAGAAACTCATTAAATGAGGTTAGACTCTTTTCCTTGGCTTTTAAAAAATGTTTGTTTATCTTTTGGCACATAAGTGGTGATTTTCCAGTTACAGTGGGTTTAGGCAAGGCAAATTGAGAAAACATGCTTCAGAAAGTCAACATTGGATCGAGCCACTTTATATTTTACACCCCTCATTTTTTCTTTACTAGAATGAGAAGAGCTTTGGGTCTAATACTTAAAATCACCTAAAGCTGTCAAGTGCTGTAATTTTGTGCCCATCATTTCTTTTCTTCCATATATTCTTAACCTAAAAGCAAAGAATTCATTGTAATTTACCATGAAAGGCAAAAATGAAGAAGTATGCACACATAATTTAATACTGATATGTGTATTAGTTGGTCTGTTTACAGAGAAAATGGCAGCTGATGTCATAGCCTGTCTTGCTTTCCATTTAGCTCCCAGGAGAGATTTTGGAGCCATTTCCTTTGCCTCAGCTTCCCAGATAATACTGTACATAAGCATCCAGAGTGTACAACCTACTCATAAGAGGATTAAGTGCTTTAATTTCTACCACTAGGGAATAATTTGTATTTGCAAGGCCAGAAGTTGACTGATGACTCATGATTAAGAAATGAATTCAATATAAAATCATAGGAACCTTTCTTTCTAATTTATAGGGTGCTATAGGTTTTGGGTATGAAGCACTTCTACTCCTTTAATTAACAGATGATAAAACTAAGGATCAGAGGGAAGCTCCTTAGAAATAAGATACCTGGAAATAGGGTAGATCTCTAGGTTCCCATTTCAGCACTTTCCTCCATCATACCTTATAGTTTTTGCTACTTTATTAATATTGTCACTGACACTATCCCCTTCACTCAGAGGTAAGGCTTAGAAGACTGTGATTCTATATAACTATAGTTAGGGAGAAACAGATAACAAGAGGTTTCATCAACAGACAAAAAGAGTCTTTTTTTTTTCCACATTGCCACTGGGCTGTATTATTATGCAGCTCTACATCTGTCCTTCCTTGTTCCTTCAGGCAAAGACATGGCCTGGAATTCCCAGAACAAACTTGACTTTGAAATCCATTGGACCTACAATGAATGAAACAACAGTTAGGACAAGGAAAAGACTCTTGGGCTCACAATAAAGATTGCTCTGTGATACATGCTAACCAGAATAATCTCAGTTGGAATATAGGGTAACTTTAAGTTACTGCCCAACAAAGAGGCCTATTCAGGAAGAAAGCTTTTTGAGCCTTAAAGGATGAGAATTTTGATAACTTTTACCTCTCTGACATTCCCTTTCTGGATTACTTTCTCTCTAAGTTTTAGAACTTCATTGTCTGGATGGTTTATGAATATATGATCTCTTTCCAGGTAGGCTGTAAGCACTTCAAGTACAAGAAGCATTACTCATTGTTGAATTCTCCAACCAGCTGAGGACAGGTATTTATACATGATTAAAAACTAAGTACCCTATGAGTAAATGAATGAATTTCAAATCAACTCTTTAGGATTTAAAAATCAGTGGCCGTATGTATATTAATTTGAAAAGAAATTGTCTCCAAAAAGATTTTATTCCCAAATTCTATATAATATTTTTACATAATTATTTATTTCTCACTGCTTTGGTACAACTTATTTTTGCGTGGTTAAATAAATATTATTTAGATTGGAGATGTTATCAGCAAAGCCAGGGGTAGTGGCACATACCTATAATCCCAGGATTTGAGAAACTGAGGCACAAGGATTGAGAGTTCAAGGCTAGTTGGGCTGCATAATAAATTCAAGGCCAGCCTGAACTACCTAGTAAGACCCTATCTCAAAAAAAAAAAAAAAAAAAAAAAGCAGGGGCTGGGGATTTGATTCTTGGGCTTGCCCTGCTGGCCTCTCCCCAGGGTACTCTGAGACAGCAATTGAAACTGGGTGTGGTGGTACACACCTGGTAATCCCAGCACTTGGGAGGCTGTAAACAGGAGAATCACTTCGAGTCCAATCTAGTAGTGAGACCCTGAACACCCTGTAGACCGGTCCCTAAAATAAAAAATAAAAAAAAATGTTATCAGCAAAGTTAAAGACTGACCTTTACATTTTGTTTTCATTTATTTATAGCAATAGTTATATAAAATCCATATTATAGTTTTAGCAACTTGATTTTTTAATGAATGCTACCTGTTTATTTTAGGATTCTTTTCTCTTTTTTTGGCTGGCTCAAGCTGCCTTAAAGGTGTGTCTGGTGCAG